GTTTCAAAGAAACATTAATTTTTTAAATTAAATATTGTCACCGCAGAATTTTTTTTCGTATACATCTTTAGCTATAAATATTAAACATTGTAGCATATATACAAAGTTAGTATAACAGCCCGTGCAGAAATTGACACTTTTCATCCCGATTACCGACCTGGCCCCGACCCGATTTCCTGTTCTGGCCCCAGGTTAGTAAATTTCTATGGGCCCGACCAGGGCCAGACCTGGTTGCCATATTTAAAATTATTAAAAAACTAGTGAAAATACATTTATAGCATTTTATGACATTTTTTACCCTCTAAATCTGAATTAGTAAAAATGTTTACTAATTTGAATTAGTGACTAACTTTTTGCTTATGAATTAGTAAAATTTTACTATTTATTAGTAACTTTTACAGGGTGTCCATAGTAAGAAGTACAAAAAAAATTCCCAGACTTTTTCCCTGAAATTCCCTGACTTTTTCCTAACCTTTTTCTAATTTTTCTTTAATAAATATTTAATATTAAAAACATGAAAAGTATAAATTATTAAAGTATTTTTAAGATAATAAAAAACATTTTATTTATTAGCTTTATTCACTTTTTCTTGCACCAGAAAATTTAAAAAAAATCATAAAAATGTTCATTTTTAGAAAATTTTTAAAAAGTTCCCTGACTTTTCCCGGACATCCCTGACCGCTGGACACCCTGTTTTACTAACCATTACAGGATGTCTAACAAGGATTAAGAAAAAAATTCCCTGACTTCTCCCTGACATTTTTTGATTTTTCCCTGACTTTTTAATAACCTTATTTATCTGCTTTTTTTTGGACAAAAATATGATTACTGACATATTTAACAATAAATTAATTTCTAATGGTAGTAACAAATGGTAATAAAAACCATTCAAGTTTTTTTAGATTTAAAAATTTTTAAATTCACAAAAAATTTTAACTTTTGTAGAAATTTACAGAAATTTCTCCCTGACTTTGAATGAAATTTTCTGAAATTCCCTGACTTTTCCCTGACCGTTAGACACCCTGATTGTCGATTCAACTTCGGTTTTTCCTGAACCCAGTTTTGAATTCTGTCAAAAGATCCATTTGATTAACCCATTCAGTCATTCTATTGTTTATAATTTGCGTGAATATTTTCGTAATGCAGTTGACAAGAGCTTTAGGTCTATATTTATTTGGGTCCTGTTTGCTTCTACCCTCAGGGTGGAGAAATCAGGGAATTTCTCTTTTTTTTAAATTTTATTAAAAAAGGGAGCCCACATCTAAAATCCATTTTCCGGGTAAATTCTTTAAAAATTCATATGAAATTCCATCCGATCCCGATGCATTATTATTTTTTCATTTATTAATTGCTATAATAATTTCCTCGTAATTAATTGGTACATCAAGTATAGGGTTTGATTCTTCAATAATTGTAAATTGAATTGTCGCACCCCTGAAGTCGTCAGCTCTTGGAGAAAAAATCATGCCAAATTTCTAATTTTATATATTATTATTAGGATTAGATTTAAATCTAAAACTGTTAATTATTTTCCAAAAGCTTTTTGAGTATCTAGATGAGGCTAATAACTCCAGGGTATATGCTGTTAGTAAAAATAATAAAGGTCTAAGAGTTTCATGCCGTAGAACGCCTCTAATAACAGAAACTGTATTAGATATGAAAAATTATGTTTAAAACAAGCACTTTCTGAATTTTCGCAATTTTTACCGCTGTTAAAAAAAATAATTTAATTTGAGCATTGAAAATTTAAAGACTCCATCTAGAAGAAACACAGGGTTGCTACGGTTTCGTAATTTCAAAATTCCCTGACATTTCCAGCCCATTTTTCATAAAATTCCCTGACCAAATATAAAATTTTTATATTAAAGTTTTAGCTTAGGGGAGATTCGGGTAGCCTTGGACACTTAAGCTTTTTTGTGAATAAATTCTATAAATAATTTAAAAATATTATTTTAATTAGTTTATAGGAAAGACAATGTATCTATTAAACCATAAAAATAATTTAATCGTAAAATAAATATATTCATTGAGAAAAAAATAATAACAATTATGTATAGAGAAACACTAACCTTCAAAATTTTGTCGGGTTAAATAATTAACATTAATATATTATGTATACTATATGTATGCAAAAAAAATTAAATTAAATTGACAATAAAACATTTAAATGGTTATTAATTAACAAATTTGTTTTGTGTCTAAATTGTAAAATTAGTTATTGGAGGTTTTTTTTAAATTGGAGATGAGGCAAATGAATTACATTCAAAAGTTTTATTTTGTTTAAAATCTTTGGAAACAGCATAGAGTAGGTCTGAACTTAAAAATATTAATACAAAATTGAATATCACTTTGTCATATATACGTAATCAGTTCCAGTATGTTAAAATTAGAGTCCACAGTGAGACAGTAGTTCAACTTTTATAACAAAAATATACTCTACTTAAACTAGATAAAGTAATGACCACTTTATAATCTGATAAAATATTTTAAAAAACATTTATAAATAAAATTAATTGTTCAGTTATTATGAAGAAAATAAAGAATCTTTCAGACAGAATAGTATCAATAGAAAAGAATGGTAGTATTGTGAACTTGGTTATTTAAAATTTTTGCGATTTAAATTCGGAAAATTAATTTTCGAAACAATATTTTATAAAATTCCCTGACATTTCCAGGTTTTCCCGGTTTTCCCTGACTGAGAAAAAATTCCCTGACAATTCCAGGTTTTCCAGTACCGTAGCAACTCTGAAACATTAAGGGCTGGTCAAAGTCGATTGCAATTTTTACATAGATTTTCAGTGGAAAAATCGCGTCGACTTTGAACTGCCCTTAAGGCAGGTCATATATATAAGTCTTATATTCGAAATCTATAGTTGCTTAGTATATATATATCCTCCACTTAATTTTAGATAATTTTATAAATAACAGTATCAACAGTTTTTTTTATACACATTCCTTTAACCATTCACTTATTTTTTCTGAGAATTAAAAAGAATAGAGTTTATAAATTGTAGAGGATACACTCTTATGAATGAAGGGAAAATTGATACCTGCCTCGAAGATATATAGACATAACAATAGTTCCCCTTTGCCATATTATTCGATACTATTTTAGGAATAGAATTCACAGATAATAGTTAACATTTCATGTTTCCAAAACGACCTACATGTAATCGTGAACAAAAAAAATTCACCATATTTCAAAAATTTTATATTTAAATTTTGTATTTTCAATGAGAAAATAAAATTAAAAATTTTTAAATAAAAAAAAATTTGGATTTATATATGTGATAGAAAATTCAAATTATAAAAATAATTTTCCCGTTAGAAAGTTTATTTTAAAAAATTTAATCATAAACTGCTAGAAAACAAATATGAAATAAAAATTTACTTTTTTATTTAATATTTTTGTCTAAAAATTAATTTATTGAATTTAACGACAAAACAAAATTTGAAAAATTACATTATTAACTACTATTTACCACATTGTTAGAATTTTTTTTTTTTTTTTTTTTTACGATGAAAATTAAATTTTATAAGGAAAATTTATATACGTACGTATAGTTTATTTCGAAATAACTTTTCAATACACGAATTAAGTAGTGACTTGATACTCAATGTGAATCTGAAACTGGCTGATGCAATGCATCCAATTGATTTGATGTACTAACAAAAACCATTAATAGAACACAAATAAAAAAAAAGAATATAGAAGAATAAAAAAAAAAAAAAAAAAATTTGTTTTCTAAATTTTTCAAAAAATTTATTTCATTTTATAAAAAAAATATCTAAAGTGAGAAATTCACATGATTTTTCATAAAAAAAAAATTATATCTCAAGAGATCCGACATCTTTGATAAATGATTAAAAAATTCAGAATGTTCGCCGAACGAAAAAAAATGTATAGAAAAAAAAATATTTCCTCTTAGAAAACCTTCAAACTGGTGCCAAAATACAATATCAATAGAAAAAAAAAAATTAATATTTTTAAAAACTAGGGGTGTAAAACATTTTCTTTATATCCAATTTAAAAAAAAAAACATTTTAACATTTTAAATAAAATTAATTTAATGAAAAATATTTTGCGGGATAAAAAAATTTAAAGAAATAAAATTAATGGAAAGAAAATAAATCTTCTACATTTCCACTTAAATTTTTAATTCTAATAAGTAATTTTCAATTATTTGAATGATCACGTTTTTCTATTGTTTGTTTCTTTTTTATAAGGCCAATTTTTTTTTTCTTAATTTTATTATCAACTAATTATGTATTTTTTTGTTTTTGTTTTATAAAGGGTAAAATTTTGTAAACTCGTGTACAATTTAAATAAATTTAAAAATTTTTTTTGTACCTGTTATTCCAAGATTTTTTTAAAAAAAAATTTTAATTCATAAATTATAGATTTTTGAAATTATTTGTAAAATTCAAAAATTGTGTTCACTTTTGAAAAAAATATAATATACGAAGCAGTCTCTTTAAAATTTAAATAAGAGGAAGTGTTTATCAATAAGTCCTCATTAAATATTCTTCCAATCGTAGAGAGTTATAATAAAACGAAATATTTTCTTTAACCGCTACGTATATATATATATATATGTGTATACTCTGTCATTCATTCTTTTTGCGTCACACGAAAAAAGAGATTTTCTCAGGGAATTCAGTTATTATATATATATATAGGTATAGAAATTGCACAACAATAACAAATGACAAACCTCGAGCAAAGCGTCGGCAAGAACCAAAACAAGCCAAACAATCAACTTTGCTGGTTCGATAACGCTTTCACGTGGAGGCCGACTGCAAATACGTCGATTCTGTTCCATATACTCTCTTGATTCACAATTTACGCAGTAAACTCCATATATATACGTATTAGTTCTATATTATTCAAGGGCTACAAACAACTGCAAAGCGATTCACAAAACACAATTATAGTTCTACCAAACCATTCTTGTTTGTTTATCTAATAACTATATATATATATATATATATATACGTACCGCAAATGCAAATTTATTTCACAGCTCGTGAATAACGTGACGTAAAAAAAAGAAAACAAGAAATTTATTTTCACTTCTCCAATATTGTTGCAAAGGAAAAAAAAGATAAATTATTTTTTTTTCCTCTTTTCATCAAAATTTATTGATATTTTAAAAAAAATTTAATTCCATTTTTAAAAATTCAATATTAAATTTTGTTTTCACTTAAATAAAAATATTTTCATTTTATCATTATTCAGTTAAAAATATATTTAGGAATTCTCTTGTAAATTGATTTCACGACACGAAGCAATGCTTCCACGAGAAAGAAACAAACAACTTAACCTTTCCCTTCTTGGAAAAATGCGTCTCCGAAAAGAGGCGGCTCATCTCAGGGGTCACGACTTCAAGGCAACCGAGAGAGAAAAAGAGAGACAGACAGAGACAGAGAAAAAAGAGAGGAGAAGCGCAGTCCTATAAAGCAAGAAGGAAAATTCGAGAGAAATTCACGGGCTACATTTGACTCTACAAAATAAAATTCCAGAACACACGTTTTATAAAAAAAAAAAAAAAAATTGCTGAAATATCATTCAAATGATTAATCATGGGAAAATAAATTTTTTTTTTTATCCTACACACATCCGCTTCCTGGCTGCATATAAATCATGGAAGTCACAATACAAACATATAATGTCCAGTGGATACAGGAGAGAGAGAGAGAAAAAACGAGTGAGAGAGGAAACTGATCGCGAGGATATGCCGCGTCTCGTATTGCGTAGTAAGCTGAATGGATTACGTCACGCGCCAGAGGCACAGCAATCCATGCGCACACATACTCACAGGCACTTGTTTACAACCTCGAATGCTATTTTGCACTCAGGGGGGGACTTCAGCCTATGTTTACGCCTTGTACGACGACGACGACAAATGCAAGATGCAATCAAAATCGAGCGTCGTCACACGTGCGAGACTTTTTTTTTTTCAAAGTTCACAGCGTCTTTATAACACTTTACTTTCGAGATACATAACCTCCGGTAGGATTATCTGTCGCACCCGGCGTACAACAATGGAATAAATCGATCGCAATGCCAAAGTGGAAGGTTAACAATTTTCACGTCAAAAAATCACACTTTCCCCCCACGTGTTAAAAGAAAAGAAAAAAAAAAAAAAACAAAACCCGACAAAAAAAAATAATCCATAAACAAGGTCCTTTGGCGTCAGTTTCGCTCTTTTCTTTCCTCATTCTCTCTCTTTATTCAGCTACGCCTCATTTGCCTCCTTCACTATATTCTCCTCATTCAACCAATCTCTTATTTCTCTCCCTCTCTTTGTTTTGTTTCACAAATTCTTATTTCTAATGATTTTTCATTAAAAATTTTTTACCATTTTTGAGGTTAGAATGTTGTTTGTTGATGTGATCTTATTTTAGACGCATTTTCGAGTAGGTCAGAGAGGCACAACTAAAAGGCAACACTGCCCACGTGGCTACAAAATATTTACAGGTAATATTTGTTTTTATCCTATATATATATACACATATATAGGTTGCAAATTTTTGTTTACCTTTGAGAGGTGCGTTATTTTAAATGTTCGGCTACCTTCAACTGAATTGTTTTATTTCACAAAAAAGAAAAAAAAATTGTTTTTAAACTCGTGAATCTATTATTTGAAACACCACAAACGACGCGAGACGTATAATAAATATATACGCAGTTCACTGCACGACAAACAAGCGAACACTACACTCACACTCCACTACACATCGCAACGAGACGAGTCAGCTGGACTGCAGGAGCGTATATACAGTAAGAGAAATCCTGTAGAATTTTTATTTTTTTTTTAGTATTGTAAGAAAAAAATTAGTTCAATTTTTTTTAAACATGAAATTAAAGAAACACTTTTTGTGAAAACTTTAAATAATGAATAAAATTCACAGGAATATAGTAAATTTTTTAATTAAAGAATTAACTATTTTTTTTGTTACCCCCATTAATATAATTGGAATAGTAATTTTAATAATTAGGTTAAGTTTAATATCAGGAAAATAGTATCAAGAATGAAAAAATTTCGCCTATAAGCGATTACTTTTTGAAAATGGCGCGAATTAAAATTTTTTTTTTTAATTATATTTTTATTTATTTGTTTTTATTGATATTAATATTTGGCGGGAATTTAGTACTTTTTATTTATATTAATTATTGACAAACATTTTTTAAATATGAAATAAAAAATTCGGACTCTCCGAACATTTTTTTTTTCATTCAAATATGTAATCAATAATTACATAAATATTTATTTTATTTTTATTTTATTTATTTTTATATTATTAATTAATTTAATAATACAATATAATAATAAATTTAAATTTTTTAAAATTATTTTTCAAGTAAAAAAAAATTTAACTGTTAAATATTTATTTAATACTAGTCAAGTAAACGATTGTATATTTGAATTAAATAATTTTTTTTCAGTTTAGGTATATTTAATATGCAGTTGCATTATGTTATTCTCTTTTACTTCGCTACCTATGATACATTTCCGTAACCGTATAGCCCTTATACAGGGGCACATTTTTTTTTTTTTATTTATTTATAAATAATTTACATTAAAATGTTATAATTAAATTTTGATTTAAACGAAAATTATTTTTCAAGTTAAAAGAATTTTTGTTTAATTCAAAAGATAAATTTTTTTCAATCAAAAAAATAATTCTTTAAATCAAAAAATTTTTTTAAGTTACATAAATAAAAAAAAAGCATTGACCCAATTTTTTTTAAATGTGTACAGTTTACGTCGTAGAAATAAAATCAAAATTTCATAATATTTTTGGGTTTATATACAACGAAGTAATTAAATATTTTTTTAATCTTGAATTTAAAAAAATTAAATATTTACAAGACAAATAAAAGATTATATCATCGCCAGAAAAAAAGGTTTCTTTGATTCAAAGAAATCAATTTTTTTGACAAATTTTTCTTTGATACACAGAAAATTTATTTGTTTCAAATAAATTATCTTTGTATCATAGAAAAATAATCTTCGTTTTAAAGAAATTTTTTATTTAATTCAAATAAATGTTTCTTTGACGCCATATATTAATGTTAGAATTTTTTTGAATTCATGCACAAATTTTTTTGAATTAAAGAAATTTTCTTTGAAACTAAGAAGCTTTTTTTGTTTCAAAGAAAATTTTATTTCGAATTTTTTTTTGACAGATATTTATTAAGTAGAGCAAAAGAAGGATAATAATTCTGTAAAATGAATATTCGAACAAATAATAATTCTGTAAAATGAAAATTCGTTGAAGTAACAATTTTTTAATAAATAGAATTTCGTTTATTTTTATGTTGTGACGATTTTTGGAGATTCTGATTGGGAAAAAGGACGCTCTTTTTAATGAAACCAACCCCAGATCTCTAGCTTTATTAGATTTTTTACAAATACACTTCAAAGAAGGACACATTGATTTGAAAAAAAACCAAATAAAAAATCACTACAAAAAAGAGTATAATAAAATTGATCAGATTTGCTTGAAACTCGTTACTTAGGGCGGTTTTCGAAATCAAACGAAAAAAAAAAGTTCTGAAATCTTTCATTAACTATGGTCAATCACTTTTGGATGCTGCACGGGAGTAATTGAAAAAAGTAAGATTCTAAGCTTTAGGCGAGCTTTAGGTATATATTTTTAAAAACTAAAATAACTCTCCACTAGAGAAAAGGGAACTTACTCTCTAAATTTGAATCAGTGAAAAATTTACTGGTCTCAAATCAGTCGCTAAATTCTAGCTATTTGAATCAGTAAAATTTCACTGATTTTCAGTCAAAGTAATTGATTCTCCAGTGAAATGTCACTAACTGTCAGTGAAAACCACTGATTCAAATAGCTAAAATTTAGCGACTGATTTGAGACCAGTGACTTTTTCACTGATTTATATTTTATTTAGAGAGTAGAGGTAATTTTTACGTTCTACACTGGAAAAAAAATAGTATTGAATCAAGAAAACACATTTAATTGTCCGTATTTGATTCAATATTTTCTATACGCAAACGTTTACTCAAATTAAGAGAGTATGATAAACGATTTTTAAAAAAATAATTTTTTAAAATAAAAAATTATGTAATTTTTTTGACTAAAAAATATTTCTTATAGTTTTTATTATAATCAACAAATTATAAAAAAAAAATTTTTGTTTATTATTTATTATTATTTTAATCCAATTTTGCTTATTTTAATCCATATTTTGGTATTAAAATAAGGGGCATTCCACGGGAGATTTTCATTGAAAATTTTTTTTTCCCGAAACATTTTTTTTCGAAATCTACACGGAGAAAAATGGAAAAACGAATAAAGTAACTTTTACTACTTTAAAAGTAAAATTGGACCTGTCCGAAGTTTCTGCGCATCTCTGGCAACTTTTACTCGAAAAATAGTAAAATTGACTATTTCTGTAGTAAATTTTACTGTTTCCGTAGTAATTTTTACTATTTCTGAAGTAAATTTTACTATTTTTGGAGTAAAAGTTGCCAGAGATGCGCAGAAACTTCGGACAGGTCCAATTTTACTTTTAAAGTAGTAAAAGTTACTTTTTCTTTTTTTCCGTGTATATGAAAAATAAGGAAATACGTACACTGAGAAAACTGGAGTGTTAAATTCAGAGGTTCAAAAAATGTATGTTCAACTGTCTTATCAAGAGAGTTTAATAGTCCTTCGAAATGTATTTTTGAATTAATAAAAGAAATCTGCTTTCATATTCTGTCCGTTCACGCACGGAGGGATAAAAGCTGCGCAGAAAATTTGAATTAGCTTCTGCGCACAAAGATCGCGCTAAGATATATGGTGACATTTAATTTAATGTATTAAATTTTGAGGTTAGGTTGCCATATTTATTTATTCCGCGCAAGATAAGGAAGGGATTCCTCAAGATTTATCATTTGTTCCTCAACCATAAACTTATTATCCCTCCAGGAAGGATAACACGACTTTCCCTGAATGGTGTATTCGATTACTTATGGCGCACTCACACCTTTTTTGGCTGCCTGCCTGCCTGCAGGTTACCATGGCAACGCACGAGTGTGAGTGAGACAGAAAATTTGAATATTCAAATTTTTAAATTTTCTGTCGCACTCACTCTCATGCGTTGCCATGGTAACCTGCAGGCAGCCAAAAGGTGTGAGTGCGCCCTTAGAGTGTTGTTCCATAGCCAACTCTCAAATATGAATTCTTAATCCGTCCAGAGGTTTAATCTGAACCTCCAGTTTTCTCAGTGTATTTTTTTATTTGATGAAAATGAAGGAAGTTATGATTTTTTGAAATTTAACGTCAACGAAGAAAGTGTGTTTTTGGAACATTTTTTAATCTATCCCTGGCGGATTCGATTTGCGTAATGTCTACTTAACTAAGCGGACTTTAGGTAGACATTAGGTAGACATGTAAAAAAACGTATAAAAAAGCTATTAATCGACTTATTATGATAAAAAAAAGTTGATAAAAGGGTAAATGAATGTTTATAGAGTAAATTCGTACAAAATTTGTAATTAATAAAGCAATAAATAATTAATAATGAATGGAAATGTGCGCGAGGTACCTGATCAGTTCAGCTGTACAATTATTTTCGTGCTATTTTCATGAAAAGAATATAAATTAACTGCAAAAACAATTGATATTTATAAAAAAGTGTAAAATTGATTTAATTTTATTGTTTGCAATACGAATTATTAAATAATAATTAAGTTTTTATCAAATGTGAATAGTGTTGTTAAAACCTGTGAAAACTAATGAGTTACTACATTACCGATCGCATATGATAATAAAAAGTTCTCGATGAGTGTAACAAAAAAAAATGCAATCATGTCCGTAATTTTGGACGAGAAACAATTATGAAATCAATAATTATTTGTATAACTTTATTCTGCATTTTAAAATTCACTTTTTATTTTCTTTCAAAGCAAAAGCTTGGAAGAAAACATGCTCGCACTGTATTGTAAAAACTGGTGGCGCCATCTCTCATATGCGATCGGTAATTTAGTAACTCATTAGTTTTCACAGGTTTTCACAACACTATTCACATTTGATAAAAACTTAATTATTATTTAATAATTCGTATTGCAAACAATAAAATTAAATCAATTTTACACTTTTTTATAAATATCAATTGTTTTTGCAGTTAATTTATATTCTTTTCATGAAAATAGCACGAAAATAATTGTACAGCTGAACTGATCAGGTACCTCGCGCACATTTCCATTCATTATTAATTATTTATTGCTTTATTAATTACAAATTTTGTACGAATTTACTCTATAAACATTCATTTACCCTTTTATCAACTTTTTTTTATCATAATAAGTCGATTAATAGCTTTTTTATACGTTTTTTTACATGTCTACCTAATGTCTACCTAAAGTCCGCTTAGTTAAGTAGACATTACGCAAATCGAATCCGCCAGGGATCGTACTAATAAATTAAAAATTATGCTATATATGAAATTTGTTCATTTTTTCTTAGTACAATAGATTAAAAAATGTTCCAAAAACACACTTTCTTCGTTGACGTTAAATTTCAAAAAATCATAACTTCCTTTATTTTCATCAAATAAAAAAATACGTATTTCCTTATTTTTCATATAGATTTCGAAAAGAAAATATGTTTTGTGGAAAAAAAATTTTGTATGAAAATCTCCCGTGGAATGCCCCATAAGCAAAATTGGATTAAAATAATAAGCGTTGCAGCTTATTTTGATACCTTATAATTTTCTGTGTAACTATTTGCGAAAATATTTTATCAGCTTTTAAAATTATGTATTTTATTAATATCCTAAATTTATTTTAATTGTTGATATAATTATCAATAAAAAAACTTATTATTATTAACTAAAATAAATAATAAAGTGCAATTATAAAATAAATATCTATTATTACTTTAAATAAAAACTTGAAATTGAAAGAAGCTAATTTGAAAATCAAATTGGTTTTCATTTATATTTTCAAATTGCGTTGGTTCTTTTGTACCTGTTTTCAGTACATATTGAAAGCTTTCTATTCATGCTTTGAAAGCTTCAGAAGTTATGACAATTTCCATTCAATGCTTTTATGATTTTTATATTCTCATCAATATAATAAGAATGTCTTGTTTTTCAGAAAATTTACATTAAATTTAATTATTATTATTTTATAATATAAAATTTTTTTTTAAATATTTTTTTATATATGATTATTAGAAAATTACTGAAAAAAATAGTCAAATTCTAATTGAATTTATTAATAGAAAGTTTGTATTCTTTTCGAATCAATCCGTTTCATTCTGAAACTAAATTCTAAAGTTTTTGCTATCAAATTATTTATTATTTACTAATTCATATTTAGAGAGATCAATATTGCTATTATAATTAGTTTTTATAAAAAAAAATATATGTTATATACTCTCTAAATCTGAATAAGTGAAATTTCACTTATAATGTTTCAAAAGTCTTCCACGTAGAAAAATAAGTGTATATGCACTTAAAAATAAGTGAAACTTCACTTATTTTTGAGTGAAAATTACTTATTTTCAAGTGCACTCTCTAAATTTGAATCAGCGATAAGTATACCACTGGTACCAATCAGCGGATATACGCTGAAAAATCAGTGAAATTCCACTAATTCATTAGTGCATATAAGCTGATTGGAATCAGTGGTATACTTATAGCTGAGAATCAGCGAGATTTCGCTGATTCAAATTTAGAGAGCATATACACTTATTTTTCTACGTGGAAGACTTTTGAAACATAAGTGAAATTCCACTTATTCAGATTTAGAGAGTATGACTGGAGTAATAAAGGATCTAAATTAATGAGGAAAACTTGATACTTGTCCTAACAAGAGGTTAAATTATATGGAGTTCTCAGTGTACGTATTTAAGTTCTTAATGTCAGAAGCACTTCTCATTATAAATATCCTATCGGGTTATTTGCTTTTAATGCAGAACTGTTAAATAGGTTGCTAGAATTCAGGCGCAAAATGAGTAGTTATAATACAATATTATGTATCTGAAAGAATTATGCATTGAAAAAAACATTTATTTGCTTTAAATAATCGGTTACTTGACAATTGTTAAATAAATATTTACTTGAATCAAATAAATCTTATTTGAATTAAATAAAACTGTATTTATACCAATAATTTTTGTATTTGAAACAATAATTTATCCAATATAAAGAAGCCAACCCAATTTTTTCTTTTTTTTGAAGTTCAAAATTACTTTCCACTTGTTGATTTAAGCAGAGATTAAAAATATTTAATTTAAACATATATGTATATAGATGTGACAAAAATTTTAATACTTTCAAATTAAATTTTTTTCACTATTCATATTTTTATATTTTAGCTGAATTATGGAGGTATAAGTCTAGTTTGTTTTAAACTATATATGAATTAATTAATTGGAAAATAATTAAATTTTGATTTCATATTCTTCTAAAGTGTAAAAAATTAAATTCCATTGTGTACATTTTCTTTCTTATTCTCAAGAATTCTAATTACAAATGAATTCAAGGATACAATACCGATTTCACTATCCAACCCAATAATTTTCAATAGAGATGCTATGCAAGCGCTTCTGATAAAACAAAATGCAAAAAAAATATAATCAAATTAAATTAATATATTTAGAAAAATAATTCTCGTGTTTTTATATGAAATTATTTGTTTGTTGAAAATGACAAAATAGGACAAAAATAGACAGCAATTATTAATTAATATGTTGAAGAAGGTTTAAATTCTAAACGCAATTTGATGCGATAAGAAAATTGTAGAAGCGTATTATAAATTCAATTTATTTTATTACTCTTTTAATAAATTTCTTAAAAAAATTATTTCATTTATTAAATAATTATAATTATACTAGGAAATTCGAGACACATGAATGATGCCTAAAATTAATTTGTTCATATTTTTTGGTTGATAGGCCTCAAATTGTAAGACTTTTTCAATTTTTTTTTTCCATTTTTATTTTTTACAAAATTTTTAAATGAAATATGAATTTTTTTTAGTACCTATTAGCTCTTCCAATAATTGAAATAAAATATTTATTAAAAATAAAAAATCGACTTTTTCAACTTTTCTAAATAAATAAAAATATTCGAACAAATAAAAATTCGGCTAAAAAAATAAAATATAATTCTACACTGAGAAAACGATATGTTTGATTCAAACATAATATGTTTAACCCAAACTTAAAATAGCTTTGTTATACAGTCAAACATATTTATGTTTAAATTTAATATATTCTCTGGTTGATTCAATGTGAAAATATATTTAATTTAAACATAAATTATAGTTGATTTCAATTTATTCATAATAAATTTTTATGTTTAAATCAAACATAAAAATTTTAAACATATTTTCAGTTTAAGCCAAACAGAAAATATGTTTGAATCAAACATAATTATTCAAACAAATAATAATTTTAAGCCAAAGTAGAAAATATTTTCTATATGTTAAAATTAAACATAAAAACTGTGTTGGGTTAAACAAAAACTTTTAAACTGATCTTTATATTTGAAACAAATAATTCTTTTTCTCAGTGTATCTAGGGTCATTTGGGGAAAATGTAAACAAGGGGTAAATGTAAACAGCAGATATTGCAGCTTAATTTACAGACTTAAAATTAAGTTCGACCCCAATATTTTAACCTCAGCTCACCTGAAACAGGTTCTGAGTATTGCCAATTTTTTTTTTCGACAATTGTCAAAGCCATACTCCAATTTGTCGCTTAATGCATGAAAGATTGAAAATCAAAGTTTTACTGTTTCAGTATTTTGTCTCGCATTTGAATAAAAATGAACTAAAAATTCAAACTAAAATTTCTAATTATTCCTTATGAATCCCTTAACAAAAGCTGACTTTGATTTTTTAATTTCGTCAATTCAGTTAATAGATAATTAAGTGTTTACATTTACCCCGAGAATTCGAAAACTCGGGGTAAATGTAAACAGAATTTCTGCTGCATTTTAAAAGAAAATAATTGAATAAATTTGCTTCTATTTCACAATTACATTATTTTCGCCCTGTAAAATTACATAAAAAACGAAATTGGATCTTCTTTTATATCTCCTTCGTGTTAGTCAGTTGCAGGTATAGACCTGCATAGTATTGCATAGTGCATTTACGTGTTTAAAATATAGGAAAGCGATTCTTCACGATTGGTGAATAAAATTCAGGTACGTAGGAATCCTAGAATAAGAGTGAGTGATTGATTGGTTGATTGATAGATTGATTGATGGATTGATGGATTGATTGGTTGATTGGATGATTGATTTATGAATTGGTTGATTGAGTAATTGGTGGATTGATTGGAAATTTTAAATTTGTCTTCAAATTCGTATTCAGTGACCTCAAAAACCCCCGAGTAGCGAGATTCAAGCAAATTTGATCAATTTTTAAAAATATTTTTAGGTTCATCCGCCATATTGGATCCGCCATTTTGAAATTTAAAAATTCGATTTTAGAATCTTATTCAGCAACCTTAAAAACTTATTTTCACGAAGTTGAATGAAAATCTATTAAAATTTATTGAAGTTATTCAAGTTTTTACATTACTAGTTTTGTTATGGTAATGATTGCTTATTTTATATGTTGCATATCAATCAATTGGTTCAATTATTTTACATCTACCAAGAATTTTTTTTCAGTTTTTACATCCCTTTACACAGTAGTATACTTGGGATAACTTTTTTCTTAAATCTCTTTAAACTACAGAGGTGTTTACATTTACCCCGAATTTTGGGAAAATTTCAAAATCTCGGGGTAAATGTAAACAGTCAGTTTTAAGCGATTCAAGTTGATCAATATTTTTTTGTACCTCATAAAATGTTTCTAGGGAAGTGAAGTAACAAGTTCATGCAGTAGAAAACCGGAAGTATTGCTTTTTAAAATAAAAAACTTACGTTATTGTCGAAACTAAGCAAATCCGTTTACATTTACCCCAAATGACCCTAATGAAATTCTATTAAATAAAAATTCTAACAAATTAATTTTTATGCATCTCGGAAATTCTGTAAAATAATATAAATTATAATTGAATTTTAAATATATTAGAAAAATAGTAGATTACAATTATTTATAACAATGACTACATATGCGTATCCATGTAATAGATGTTTGAACTTTACAAATTTTATAATTTGTAAACACATCATTTTAACAAAAATATTTTTTGTTAAAAAAATACCAAGAATTTTTTTTTACAAAATTCACTAATTCTTTCACAACGGGAATTGTTCACATTATACGATACTACTTAAAATTTATAATCTTATTTACGTTTATTTTTTTTTTATTTTTTTGTAGTTTTTCGAGAATAAATTCAGTTTTGAAAAAGTACAAAAAACTTGAGACAATAAATATTACATAATTATACATTCTAAATTATATATTTTTAATACTTTTCTTGTGTGAAAAAAAAGTGGCGATTACTCCACTTTCTTCTTAGATGTAAATTGCTTTTTTACTGCTCTTAGGTATAAGTTCTTTCCTCCGAAAAATAAAACCAGTGAAATAATCAAGTAAAAAGCAGCCACGTCGAGCGAATAGTACTGCAAAACACCCATGTTTCTGAAAGAAAGAATAAAATTACTTTTTCTTTTATTTAAATTTCTCTACAAATTGTCCAATCTTTCCTCATTGCGCTCACAATATAAAAATGTTAAATTTTCGTCTATTTCATATTAAAAAAAGAAAAAGAAAAAAAATTTTATTGAATTTCTTTCAATCTTTATATGAAAGAATTTCTTTTCTTTAAAAGATAACTTTTTTTAAAAAAAGGAATGCATTTTCGAATATGTGATTTTAAAAGTATTCCAGGTGCGATTCCAGGTGAGATTTTGACTTTTTCGGAGTAGATTACACTCAGAGAAATGGTATATTTGTCTCCGAGTCTACTAACTCATTTATTTGTTGCAAATATATTTTATTTGATTCAAATATATTTTATTTGATTCAAATAAATCATTTCTCTGGGTGTAACTAATTACAATGAAACTTTGGAATTTTGTTATATATAGTAAGACTAATCTTTAACGCAAATTGCAGCTTAAAATATTTGTTAGTTTACGAGATTTACAATAATAACAAAAAATTTAAAACTGCTATATCTTCCGTTCTAATAATCGGATTGAGGTCTACTTTTTTTTAAAATGTCAAGGAAAATGAGAGGAATAAATCTCTTTCAGAACAATTTTTTATAATTTTACAACTAAAAAAATTAATAAATAATAATTGAATAAATTTCACGCGACAATCTAAAATTCAATCACTTAAACGCTAAAATGATCTTACCAGTGTTTTCTTTAATGTTCCAAAGGAATTCAATTGTAAATGCAAGTTTAACTTATTTCATTTTAATAATTTACGAGTATAAACTATTGCGATTTCTGCTAGTTGACGTGCAGACGACATTGCGCACGCAGCATTCTCACGTAGCCAATTTAGTCCACGAATCACGTCAGTTGGTTACAGGAGAATGCTGCGTGCGCAATGTCGTCTGCACGTCAACTAGCAGAAATCCCAATTGTTTATACTCGTAAATTATTAAAATTAAATAAGTTAAACTTGCATTTACAATTAGATTCCTTTGGAACATTAAAGAAAACACAGGTAAGATCATTTTAGCGTTTAAGTGATTGAATTTTAGATTGTCGCGTGAAATTTATTCAATTATTATTTATTAATTTTTTTACTTGTAAAATTATAAAAAATTGTTCTGAAAGAGATTTATTCCTCTCATTTTCCTTGACATTTTAAAAAAATGTAGACCTCAATCCGATTATTAGAACGGAAGATATAGCAGTTTAAAATTTTTTCTTAATATTGCAAATCTCGTAAACTAACGGATATTTTAAACTGAAATTTACGTTAAAGATTAGTCTTACTATATATATAAAAAAATTCCAAAGTTTCATTACAATCGGTTAACCTACTCCGAAAAAGTCAAAATCTCACCTCTGGAATCGCACTAAAAATATTTATATTTTTTTAGAAAAATTAATAATTGATTAATTTAAAATACTTTTAAAAATCCCTTATATTCTAAAATTCTAATAAATATTTAACGTACAATTTTTTCTGAATGTAACGAAATCTCTTTTTTGATGAAAAAGATTTGTTTAAGTGTAACGAACAAATTAATTTAAAAAAAAGGAAACTGAGAGATTTTTAATTGTAAATATATTTCAATGCTCTGTATATAAAAGAAGTTAAAAAAAAAAAAAGAAAAATTACCTGGCAGTGCTTTTTAAATGTTCAGCTCCCTCATACTTTGACACGTGTTCCACCCACCATGCAGCCAATTCTTTTGTTCCTACTGGAAGATCCCTTAACAGCACACTTCTTCTTTTAGCAGCTTCTCTGTAAGAGTTTTTGTCAAGAGAAGCAACTTTTAAAATACTTTCCCGAAGATCGTTTATCGATATACTAGCCAAATCCACAACGAGGGCGTATCCAAGTTTTTCTGAAAAAAAAGTCAATTTCTTTGAAAAAAAAAACGGTACACTTATTTATAAAAATAAAATAAGAAAAATTACGAAAAAGACATCAACAATCTCATTAGGCAACTTTTAATTAACATGAAAATATTTAAATAATAGTCATTTTAATAATAATAATAATAATAATAATAATAATAATAATAATAATAATATAAAAATTATAATATAGTTAACAAGTGAAAAAATTAAATAAAACATTTCTTGTCATATTTTAGTTTCAAATATGAAGAGCAAATTGGCTAGCTAATGAGCTTAATGAGCTTGTCGAATACAGTCGAATACCTAGGGCAACAAATCATTGCAATTAACTTTTGACGAGGGAGAAAATTTTTTAAAAATTTCTAATTCACTTTTTTTATTTAACGTTAAAGAGATATGTTTTTTTTTTTTTTTTTTTTTGCTTACTCAAACATAGCAGAGGATAATTTTTCAAAGGTTCCATTTATTTTACAAAAAAAATACTATATTTTTCATTAGTAAATAAATGCTTAAATAAACTTTGAAAATAACACACTTTTTTATTGAATTTCTATATTGCCATGCAGAAATTTCTCCACCTTGCTCTATATATATATATATATTATTTAAAAAATGTGACTTTGATCAGGGCTTCGAAAATTTTTCTTGTTTGAAAATAATGTATGAAACATGAATATTGTCCATGTTGTATACCCGTGCAGAAATTTCCCTACTTAGTTCTACTTTAAGTAAGGCTCTCTCATGGCCCTTGCCAGTTTTTCCACAAGTCCGGCATTTCTCAGATTAAACAACAGTTACTTGGTTATGCCATGTTTGCAAAATAAACTAGAAAACTACATATCAAGGCAGTGGAAAGACCCTTGCGAGTTTGTCCACAAGTATGGCATTCCTTAGAGCAACTCGGTCTTGCCATGGTTAACATGGTTTTATGACATAACCTCAAAATAAAAAGTAATTTTTAACATCAAATAAAACTATAATAAAATTAAATTTCCATGCAAAATATTTTATCAAGTAATAATTATTTAATATAATAATATTTATGAATTTTAAATTATTTAAATTACAATTAATTAATTTACTTAATTAAAATAATTTATTTATTAAAATTATTGATTTTTTAAAAAATTAAAGAAAAATTAATTAAGGTAATTTTTAAAAAAAATTTAACAATTTTAATCTAAGAATTTTATCAACAACTCAAAAGAAATAAGTGATTTTTTCTTTACAAAAACAAAAATTTATTTGTCTTTTTTTTACTATATTATCTATATTTTAGATAATAAGAAAAATTATGTTCCTAAGTTTTAATAAAATAAAAAAATGAAAATATTGACTTATGTTAAATAAATTATAATTTATATATAATTATTGTTTCTTTATTGTCTTCATTTTCCTCAGTCGCAACTTATCAAATGAATTTTGTATTTATTTTCTCACTTTAAGTTGGCGTAATGGTTAGCGTGTTAGGTTAGGGGGTTCGATCCCAGCGAGCGTTAAATATTTTTCAAAATTTATGTAAGCGATTGCGTTAAATAATAATAGGTAATCCAGTAATAAATAATGTGTTAATTGTATAATTAATTCCATATTTAATTTTTTTGTTTAGTGTTGGTGTTACTACATATTATTTGAAGTTGGGTCGACTTTGGGATTATTATTTGTCAGGCTAGAATTGTGCATTCTTCTGTTTTTGTTTTGTTACAAGTTTTTGTTGCTTACTGATTCAATCAATTACTCATTACAACTGATTATAAGCCTGTAGTACATTTTTCACTGATTGTTATTTTTGTCACAAAATATAGACAAGTTCATCCCTAAGTAGGGCAAATCCTTGCAATACCGTCTCAAGCCATTACTAAGGCCTTGCCAGTTTGCCATGTCAGGCCCTTACCAGAATCCAGGCGTACTGGGAAGGGCCTTGAGAGGCCCAGACCATAATTTCTGCACGGATAATTTTTATGATGTTGAATTAAAAAATTATCGATTTTTTATTTAGCAGAATTTTATAAAGTTATGTAAATTAAATGACTATATAAAATAAAAATTCTGACAAACAAAGATTCAGTATAGTTAAAAATATTAACTAAAAATTTGTATAAAAAGAAATTCTGTCAAATGCTAATTCGAAAAATGAAAATTCGTCTAAAAAATAATTATTTCTAATAAAATTCTTTACAATAAAAATTGTGTATCACTAATTATTATTTTCATTATTTTATTATATTATTTTCATCAAAAAAATCTAATTTAAAAAACAGAATTATTTTTCTTATTTATAGGAAGATTTATAGAAATTATTTTCGATTTATTTATAATAAATAGAATTTAAATGTCAAATATAGATGCAGTAAATATTTTAAACTTGGAATATTATTAAACATTGCACGTATATACATTTGATTAGCAAGGTCTTTAACTTTACCTCTCGATATTTGGTTCAATGATCGATACATTTTTTTTAACAAGAAACCTGTCATTCGACTTTATGCAAATATAACAGTACTAGTATGTAGTTATTAATTTTTTTTAAACAGGTGAAAAATGTCTTCAAAAAAAAAAAATCACTGTAAATTTGACCTCTCACGTAATCAATTTCCGTCTAAGGTTGCTTTACTATTTTATACAACAAACCACAATTTCCTTATTAAAAATTTATTTCAACAGACTAAATTTCAAATTAGTTCGTAGAAATTAAGTTTTAATTATAATTCTTAACAGATATTTATTTAATAAAAATTTTTCATATAAATTTTAATAAAATTTTATTAATTGTTGATTATATAGGTATATATTATTTATTAAAGAAATATTCATTAAAAATAGCTATCTTATTGTTTTTATATAAAAATATTAGGTATATTATTGTTTTTTTTTAAGAATCCTAATGATTATAAACTATATTATTAAATAAAAAATAATTAGCCGAAGGGTAAATGATTTTATATTGAAAGATGAATTCAATTTTTTTTTCAATGTTCGTTTTTTAAATTTATTGTGAGGGTCACGATTATCCGCATAAAAATCATTAATTAAGGATTCTCCCTGGCAATAGAAGGAAATGACACAGACTTACCAAATTTTGACAGTTTGTTCATTAGATTGATTTAGGAAGATATGATTTTTTTCAGAATTTTTTACCACGTAGTTTTTTAGAAAAAAAAATAAACTATATGACCAATTTAACATGGGCTCTTATGGGAACGTGTATAAACCATAGGAAAAAAGTGTGATGGAAATGACACAAGAATCTGAAAGTGGGTATACAGGAAGAAAATATGGTAAATTTATTAATTGCACAATATAAAGAAAGTTTACCACATAGTTTTTGAGTAAATAAATAATAAAGTTTGATTTTTTGTCATAATAATAATAGTAAGTGTAGCAGACATGAAAACGTGGCAACGTCGCGACACGTGTTTGGCACGTTTGCGCAGCAACTCGCCGCGAATTTTAAATGCAAGTATACAAGTCGACAAATTGATATTTATATTCAGATATTTTTTTATATTATTTTTAGAAAATAATGGATTAAACTGGAATTTTAATAGAATATTGTATGTTATGTTTAATTTGAAAGTTTATATATAAATTTAATTCTGATTAATTATTGGAAAACAAAACGAGTGATAAAAATACACGTACATAACCTCAAATTATAATTAAATATTTTTGTCAAAATAAAATATAGTTCAAAACTACTACAATCACAGTTTTATATAATTGGATATTTGTTTACTAATTATCATGTAAATTGAAATAAAGTATAATAAATAAACTATTTATATGCTTATATAAGGTTAAAGAAAATTCCATTTTATTTTCAAATTTTGAGGTGAACGACTTATATATTACAAATTTCTTATAAGTAAATTATCTTATTTTCATTTCAATTTTAACTGTTTTATGAAAGTTCAACAATTAAATAATAACATATAACAAAAAATTTGAGGTTAGCTGTCAGATCAGGTATAGGCACTTATACACCTTTTTCTAAACAATTCTCCTATCAATAAGGATAAGAACCTTTCTTATCAAATAAAAATTTATTTTTTCCAAAGTTGCAAACTTGTGAGCCTTCACACGGAAAGAATAGAAACTATCCCTTTACTCCGCACCACCCCCTGGAGAATCCTTAAAATTTTTATTTTAAAGAATTTTATTAGAAATAATTATTTTTCACGAAGCTGAAGTACGCAACGTTTATATAAACGATTTTTATAGAAATAATTTTTTAAAATGAAAAATTCTATAATTTTTTAAAATGAAAAATTCTATAATTTTTTGTTTAAAAAATATTTCTTGTAGTTTTTATTAATCAACAAATTATAAAAAAATAATTTTTAGGCAAAAAATTATAGAATTTTTTATTTTAAAAAATTATTTCTTTAAAAATCGTTTATATAAACGTTGCGTACTTCAGCTTCGTTATTTTTTAAACGAATTTTCAATTTTTAAATTAAAATTTGAAAGATTTTATTTTTATACGAATTTTTATATAACATTTTTAGCTATCGAATTTTTATTCTACAGTAATTTTCTTTACATGACTTTTTATTTAAAGAATTTTAATTTAATTGAATTTTAATTTAACAGAATTCAGATTCATTCGAATTTTTCAAATGACAGAAATTCCAATTGACCGAATTTTAATTTGTCCAAATTTTAATTTTGACGAATTTTTAATTGATGGAATTTTTAAGACGCCGAATTTTCATTTGTCTGAAATTACAAATGTCCGAACAAACAACCGACAGAAAGATTTCGATGCAATTTTCAAAATTAAATAATCATGATTTTCTTGATAATTTCTAATTGGTTAAAAAAAATTCGTTTGAATCTGAATTCTGTTAAATTAAAATTTGATTAAATTAAAATTCTTTGAAATAAAAAATCATGTAAAGAAAATGACTATAAAATAAAAATTCTGCCAAACAAAAATTTGATAGCTTAACAATTTTGTTATTTATTAAAAATTCGTATT